ATACTTCTAATTTGAATTCTGCTTTTTCCATTTGTAGTTTTTAAATGTTATTGCCATTACACTAAAACAGTACAGACTGCTTGTGCTACCTAAAACTTGAAAAAAATAAAGTGTTTGAAAAATAGTGTGGCCCCTATATATATATATATATATATATATATATATCCAAGTATAGGATTGGTGTAGATTAAATAAAACTCCAACAACTAAAAAAAGGCTATTCTTAAAAGATAAGAGAAAATATATATATATATATATATATATATAAATATATATATATATAAAAATTAATTGATTTAAAAATGTTTTTTCGCTACACAAGTTCTAACCATGTTTCAAAAAGGATTGCTAAAAAAATATGAATTTAATTTTGTAATTAAATTAATGTTATTAGTTCATTTAAAACATATATTCAAATTCGCTTGAGGATGAAATGGAAATAATGTTCTAATGAAATGGAACTAATGTCTTTAAATTCGGGGCTTTTAACTGAGTTCATTTTTTTGAAACATGGTTAGAACTGTATAGGAAAAAACATATTTTAAATCAATTAATTTATAATATTAATTCAAAATGTAATATCTAAAAATATCTATAAGAACACCGGATTATATATTTTACTGTTTTTTTAAAATATTATATATATATATATATATATATATATATATATATATATATATTTATGAACTTTTATACATGTATGCTTCATGACTTAGTCTCTTCGACATTTGCATGAGAGCATTTTCTAGGGATTTCACTGTCTCTTATATATATATGTATTTAATCAGTATCACCCCATTAAAGGCAGTAAACCCTCTAAGACCCAAGGGGTTACAGGCTCTGCAAAAATTAGGAACAAAAACATTAATAACGAGTGGGAAGAGGAAAGAGCAATCGGGGAAAACAAGATAGCGTTTGATATTGCATTTAATTTTTTGCAGATTGAAGTTGACTGGAATGCATAGAGCCGGAAGGTAGTTCCACAAGCGAGGAGTGCGAGAAAAGAAAACTGTCAGCGTCGGAGATATAGCTACATCTAGCCAGCTCAACTGTGAATTGATGAGATCATGATGCCACTTTAATATTAAGCTTAAAGTCAAAAAGTCTAGGTACCATAACGAAAAGCTCCTTCGAACAATTACAATTTATAGAAATAAAATTAAAGGAGAAAACCTAATGGCGTTGGGTAAATTAAAAGCGAGCTCAATGATCAGGACCAATAATATTGCAGATTTTCTTTTGGATCTTATCAAGGAGTTCAAAGGTAAAAAACACCAGACCATATGTAGCAGCAATATTCTAAACATGGCTGAATGATAGACTTATAGATAAAATAAGATAGATTCTGAGAGAAATATTGTCTCGTACGACACAGTGAACCAAGTTTCTTAGCAAAAAATCTAGCAATGGATTCAATATAGTCTTTCCATTTCATGTATTTTAAGAGTATTAGTCAGAAAAAGAAAGGAGTCAATTTCTAGAGATTATTCAGACCATTGTATAACAGGGTTGTGCAAAAGTCGGTATACAGTAATATAAAAAAATGAAAAACAAAATTTTTTTTTTTTTAATGCATATCAACTCCTTATGCATCATTTAATTCCGAAATTTAATTTTCATGGGAAGATTAGTGATTTCTTTTACAAAAATATCTTCCTAGTAATTTTTCCTTCAAAAATGTATTGCATTGCTGTTAATTTTTTCATTTTTATTTTTACAAAAATATATTTCTGGAAATATTTTTCCTTTTTTTTTTACAAAAATATATTTCTGGAAATATTCTTCTTTCTACAAAAATATATTTCTAGAAATATTTTTCTTTTCTTTTTATAAAAGTATATTTCTGTAAATATTTTTCCTTTTTGTTTTTACAACTATATATTTCTGGGAATATTTTTCTTTTCCTTTTTACAAAAATATATTTCTGGAAATATTTTTCTTTTTCTTTTTACAAAAATATATTTCTGGAAATAATTTTCTTTTTGTTTTTACAAAAATATATTTATCAAAAAATAAATATTTTTTCTTTTTTAAAAAAATATATTTCTGAAATAAATTTCCCTTTAATTAAAAAAAAAAACAAAAATATATTTCTGGAAATATTTTTCTTTTTACAAAAAACATAGTTCTAGAAATATTTTTCTTTTTCTTTTTACAAAAATATATTTCTGGAAATATTTTTCTTTTCCTTTCTACAAAAATATATTTTCGGAAATACTTTTCTTTTTACAAAAATATATTTCTAGAAATATTTTTCCTTTTCTTTTTACAAAAATATATTTCTAGAAATATTTTTCCTTTTCTTTTTACAAAAACATATTACTGGTAACATTTTTTTTTATTTTTCCAGGGTTTTTCAGAAATGACTGGTGTTTGTTCTCTTATATTAGTCTGAGTAACAGCGGCTACTCGACATAGCATGAAGTCCAAGAGGTACTGGAGTCAGTGGGTGGATATATCTATCCAAGCCCGTTCCAGAGAAGCTCACAAATCAATTGTGCCTGTTCTCTTCCATTAGTTGAATAACGGCGGCTACTCGATGTAACATGGATCCTACAAGGTATTATAAATAGTGGGTGGATATGTCTATTCAGGGTTGTCCAGATATTAGTTGTGCTTGTTCCCTGTCACCGCATAAAATCTTTTCAGATGCTTTCTTAGTTTTAATTGGGGTTTAAATCAAACAAAGTTAGTGAATAATCGACCACCGTAACATCCTGAGTTTTTTTCTGGAACAAATTTCACGTCAATCGCTCACAATAAAGGATGCATTATTTGGCTTTGTGAATCAGGGAGAGCATAAAAATAGTAATAATCTTTTACAAGGTTTGTATATTCCGCACTTTTCAGGACAGATTGCAGTTGTGAATAATGATCCTTGCCTCATGCAAAGAACACATAACGTTGCAGTTAAAATTGTTCGCTTGCCAAATGTTTTCAAAGGTTTGTGACTCTGTGCAGTTTCTCCGATACGCGAATTTGATAATTTGCACCAAAGTGAAAATGCCCGAGAGAATTACAGAAAAAATAAACTATAAAATAGTTTTTAAAAAAGAATTTAAAAAAACTTTAAATTAAGAGAATTCCCATCACTTGAAGACTTTCAACAGCAACAATTAAAAAATTAAAGAAAACAATTAAAAACCCTATAAAATAAGATAAAAAGCAACGAAAAAACATAAGAGAATCCTCATCACTTGATGAATTTCAACAAGAGCAACAATTAAATAAATTTAGAAACAATTAAAAACCTATAAAATAAGATTAAAAAACAATTAAAAACCTATAAAATAATATAAAAAGCAATGAAAAAAAGCAAAATAAGAGAATACTCATCACTTGAACAATTAAAAAAATAGAAAGTAATTAAAAACCTATAAAGTAAGATTAAAAGCAATTAAAAAACCTATAAAATAAGAGAATCCCCATTACTTGAAGACTTTTGACAACAGCAACAATTAAGAGTTTTTCTATATTTCTGAGATGAGGTATTATGTACATTATTTACATTATTCGGACTATTGTCCTCATCTTTGTCGCCATATTTATTATAACATTTCAGCCTTTCAGTATCTGTCTATATTTCTGAGATGAGGAGGAATTATGTACATTATTTACATTATTCGGACTATTGTCCAATCTTTGTTCGCCATATTTATTACAAATTTCGGCCTTTCAGTATCTGTATATATTTCTGAGATGAGGTATTATGTACACTATTTACATTATTTGGACTAATGTCCTCATCTTTGTTGCCATATTTAAAACAACGTTTCTGCCTTTCAGTATCTGTTATATTTCTGAGATGAGGTATTATGTAATAAACTATTTACATTATTCGGACTATTGTCCTCATCTTTGTTGCCATATTATCACAATGTTTTTCTGGCCGTTGTAAAAAAGTAGTATCTTCAGGTGGTAGGATTTATGATATGAGGATATTATGACCACATTATTAACATTTCTAAAATTGTAATTGTGCTCATCTATCCAGATAATATCATTAGTTTTCAAAAACCCTGATATATAGATCATTATGGTCTAAACAATGAATTAAATGTAAACTGGCAATCATTATCGGAAGATTAAAAAGATTCATCTTGATATCAAGCATATTTATTTCAACGATTTCTTCATATGTACACTCCTTTCTTTCAGGGATTAGGAATTTTAGAACTGAAATTTATTTCTAAAAAAATATATCACGAAACAAAATCGATTGCATTTTGAAATTCCATGTAGAATGTCACGGTTGCAGATATCCTGATATATATATAATTTTTCAGAAATAATATATATATTTATCATGGTCAGCAGGTTTATATTACATATATGATTGCAGATTTATATATACCGTGATATATGTTAAAGTATAATAATTTCCAGAAAGCATTGCGATATATAGAGAATTTCAAAACCGTGATCCTATCTCTTTTTTTTAAAAAACAAAACGTGATATATGTAGAGAGCTCGTCAATCGATCAACATTAAATTACTGAATTGTGGAAAATTCTGGAAAACTTCTGTCTGGGTGTTTTTTAATGTGGGAAATGGGATTTTTTACATCTGGAAAGATAAACGATCTCAGACTGAAAAGTCTAAATCTGAAATTAAATTTCAATAACGCAAGAAATAGTTTCACAGGATGATTTACTCAAAAGGATAAAAAGACTACAGAAGGTTATTCTTCAAGATAATTTGCAGAACTGAAAAAAAATGAATGAATATATGTAAGAATTTAATAATTGTTGTTAGACTTTTCTACATGCTGACAGACTATATATACACCATTTAAGAATGTTCTCTACTTAAGCCCTTTATTTAAAATAAATTATGTAAAATTTTCTTTTCAACGAGAAATCCCTGCTCGATATGCCACCAAATTTGTGACAAATACAAGTACTGTTATCATTTCCAAGATGGTATTTCATAGAAGAAGGTTTCAGTAGATTTTGTTGTCTTTTCACTGAAGAAAGGAATAATCTCAAAATTGCTGAAAGCTTGTGTTGATTTACGCCTACTACTCGCAAATCTCTACCGGATACTCTCTCTCTCTATCTTCTTCTCTCTCTTCTTCTTCTCTCTCTGTATCTCTATCTCTTCTTCTCTCTCTCTCTGTGTATCTCTATCTCTTCTTCTTCTTCTCTCTCTCTCTCTCTCTACTTCTCTCTCATTGTCTCTCTCTCTATATATCTCTCTTCTTCTTCTCTCTCTTCTTCTCACTCTCTCTCTTCTCTCTCTCTTCTCTCTCCCTCTATCTCTTCTTCTCTCTCTCTCTTCTTTCTTTCTCTCTTCTTTTCTCTCTCTCTCTCTTCTTCTCTCTCTCTCTCTTTATCTCTCTCTCTTCTTCTTCTCTCTCTCTCTATCTTCTCTTCTTTTCTCTCTCTCTTCTTCTTCTTTCTCTCTCTTTCTCTCTCTTCTTCTTCTCTCTCTATCTCTTTTCTTCTTCTCTCTCTTTTCTCTTCTTCTCTCTCTTCTTCTCTCTCTCTTTCTTCTCTCTCTTTTTTTTCTTTTCTTCTTCTATTTTCTCTCTCTCTTTTCTTCTCTCTCTTCTCTCTCTTTCTTCTTATTTCTTCTCTCTCTTCTTCTTCTCTCTCTTCTTCTTTCTCTTCTCTTCTCTTCTCTCTTCTTCTTCTTCTTCTCTCTTTCTCTCTTCTTTTCTTCTCTCTTTCTCTCTCTCTTCTCTTCTCTCTTCTCTCTCTCTTCTTAATCTCTCTCTCTTCTTCTCTCTCTCTAATCTTCTTCTCTTCTTCTCTCTTCTTCTTTCTCTCTCTCTCTCTTTTTTCTTCTTCTCTTCTTTCTTTCTCTCTCTTTTCTCTTCTTGTTCTCTCTTCTTTTCTTCTCTCTCTCTCTTCTCTCTTCTTCTTCTCTCTATCTCTTTCTCTCTTCTTTTTCTCTCTCTCTTCTTCTTCTTCTTCTCTCTTCTTTCTCTCTCTTCTTCTTCTCTCTCTATCTCTTCTCTTCTCTTCTTTCTCTCTCTCTTCATTATCTTCTTCTCTCTCTTCTTCTTCTCTGAAAGATTTTCTCTCTTCTCTCTCTCTACCTCTCTGAATCTTTCTCTCTTCAGAACTTCTCTCTCTTTTCTTCTGAATTTCTGTTATCTCTCTCTCTTTTCTCTCTCTTCTCTCTCTCTTTCTCTCTCTCTTCTCACTCTCTCTCTTTCTCTCTCTCTCTCTCTCTCTATGGTTGATAATCATCCAGGAAAGAAGAAATCTGAATCCAAAACTCATCCATCTGAAATTATTTTAGGTATATTAATATTATTAGAAAATAAAATAATTATAATAATGAAAATTAAAAATAAAACAATAATATTTAAACTTTGTTTGAAATAAATAAAAAATAATAAAACTGTTCCTACCGGATATATGGACATCCCACCAAAAGATGTTAAATTCAATTTCTTCACCACGAACCTTCGTACGGGCAACACGTGTCCAACTTCTCTCTGTGATATGGCTTGTAATACTACGGTGTAAATTAATCCTTTTTATCGCATGTACAAAAAACAAATGTAACTTAAAAATCATACACACACGAAGACACAAAAAATGTATAAATAAATTGTATGAAGATAACGTAAAATTTACGATGCTTTTTCTGTTAGTATGTACATTTTTCTTTTCAAATATACTTTTTATGTTCGTGAACACAAAGCTTAACTGCTACTATTATCATGTAAGGTAATACCTTACACTGAACAAAGATAGTTAGATATAAGGTCTGGATAATCTGTCTGTAAATCAAAAACTACTAGAAATATCAATAATTATGGATTTTCTCACTAGAGAGCGATTATCCAGAATGTTGTTTTTTCGAATGGGCGTAGGTTGGAAAAATAAGTTATATGAGACTGGCCGCTGAAAAGACACACAAAGACAACACCAGATTTGGCGAACTTAACAACTTTATTTATTCAAACTGCAGGATGGATCCGACTTGTTCCCAACAATCCCTAGTGGGACCGGAAGTGTTCACAATCATCTGAATCATCATCAACATCACTGATGTTGTTATAACATCCACCTTGCTAAAGTAGTTTATTTTCTTTAAAAATTCATTTCTAACTTTTCCGAATTGCAGAATAAATAATTACAAATCAAAGTTACTTTTGGTTACAGTCCAAGGGCAATAAGTCACTCATTTTGTGAAATTAACCAAATATTTTGAAGTTTGGTTTGGTTTGTTTTACGGCATATCAATCTCAATGGCTTAATTAATGCGGACAAGATTTTTATTGCTGGTTATATTTTCTACCTATCTATCTATCTATCTATCTATCTATCTATCTATCTATCTATCTATCTCAGTATATATTGGTTTGGTTTGGTTTGTTTTCTTTCATGGGTTATCAACACCTCAATCGGTTATTTAATGCCGACAAGATTTTTATTGCTAGTAATATCTATCTATCTATCTATCTATCTATCTATCTATCTATCTATCTCAGTATATATGGTTTGGTTTGGTTTGTTTTATTGCATATCAAACCTTGGGTTATTTAATGGTTTTTTTTGCTTCGGATCTATCTATCTATCTATCTATCTATCTATGAAATCTATTTAAATTTTTTATTGATGGTTTATTTTTTTTCGGAATCAAACTGTAATACAAGATTTTTAATATTTTTTCAGAAATTTTTTTCCAAAAATATTTTTACAAAAAAATATAGCTGCTAATTTTTTTTCTAAAAAATATATTGCTCGTAATAATTTTTCCTAAAAATATTCCTTGTATTAAAAACTATTTTTATATATTCATAGTGTTTTGAGCCATTTTTGGGGGGGAGGGGGTAACTATTTGCCCAGAGCTGGGGCCCTGAAAGGTGCTACCACAAAGGGGTCAGGTTTGGTTTGTTTCGTTTTACGTCATATTAATCTCAGTGTGTTATTTAATGCCGACAAGATTCTATTGCTGGTAATATTTTTTTTTACCTTAAAAAATATATTGCTTGAAATAATGTATTACATGTAATAATTTTTTTACAAAAATGTATTGCTGGTATTAAAACCTATTTTTACAGTTTCATAGTGTTTTGACCAAGTTTGGGGATTAACTATTTGCCCATAGCTGGGAACTTAAAACACCAGCTATTAAGATGTGGTTCCACGCTTCTCAAAACCTCCTGATCAGAGGCCTTGCTGTTGGACGTCGTTTATCGTCTTACCCTGGACGCGGATGTAGTTTATCGTCATACCCAGAACGATTTGGAGTTTGTATTGTTCGTTAACTCCGAAGTTTTCCTATTTCTTAGGAGATCCCCTAAATTAGCTGCCACAATATACAGCCAGTTGCCAGTGTCTGCTGACTTCATCGTTCCTTCAGCTGTGAAGAAATATTATACAAATAGCTAATTTTCTTTCTCTACCTCCTCTTTTTCGGGTTGATAAATTTCTATCATCATGGAATCCGTTCAAAGTCTTTTTCATTGTGGCTTCCATTCAGTTTGTCTCCCGACCTGCAAAGATAAGTTGTACGAGACTTGTCTCCTGAAAAGACGAAATAACACAAAGACGACACGACACGTGATAAACGTGACAACTCATTTATTTAAACTGCCCCCTTTATCCGTCTTGATCCCAGCATTTCCGAGTGGGACCAGAAGTGCTTATGATCATCATAATCATTATCAACCTTACTGATATTCTTATAACATCATGGACACCGACGATCATTTAGTCCAAAAAAAGGTTACTCCTTTCTTCTACTTATAAAATATTAAGTAATCTTATGAAAGTGTTTGGTTAACAGGACGAAGGTTAAAAAAAGAAACCTTCTCAAAGACTTTTTTATTTACAAAAGACACAGACAAAACTATATATACATATATTAACATGTCCCACGTGGAGATAAATATATTACATATATCTACAAAGCAAAATAGATTGTAAGGAGACACAAAAAGGAACGTTCTTACATATGATATGGAGATACTCCTGTATCTGGAGAAGCCATTTTAGCACTCCAGATTCAAACGGACAGGATTCATCTATGTCCCAGGCGAGGACATATTCCACGAGCGAGAAACAGCGGCTTCCCCTAAGTTAAGAACTGCGAGCTGGAATTTAATTCTATATCTGGAAAATATATATTCGGCAAAAGAAAACGTCATCATGCACTTGTAAGCTGCAAGAGAGTCTCTGCCCGGGCCATGGGGGTGGGGGACCGAACTAAAGAAAAAATCTTACTGTTTGGTTGCTCTAAACGAACTGAATTTTGACTGTCACTTTTCATCACTGTATGAAGTGAAGTCACGAAACGGCTTTCATTTAACCCATCGTTTTGGAGATAACCCAAGGTGATTCTTACAACCTGAATGAGAATTGATCATTTAGAAAAAATCAAAAGTGTAAATAATTTTAGGAAGGCAGTGTTTATGTTAGTGACGTTAGTAGTAGCTATATCTACATAGGTTAGTTTCGTACGTTAATACAATGTTTTATTAACTATTAGTTTTCATATGTGTTGACTCAATTATCAGTTAAAACTTTGCTTTATTTATTAGTTAAAAAAAAATAAAATAAAAAGCTTGGTCAGTTATAAAACCATAGACGGGGGCGTTAAACATGTCTGATATGATTTATCGGACAGCAGTCAAAATAAGTTCGATCTCTCTGATCTAAGTAAACGCAATTTTTACTTAGCTGATGCTTCCGCCAACCGCTGCTACTCTGACCTTCCGCTCCATCGTGCGCATGCGCTGTGCCATTTTGGTGTTGCCCGCGGCAGTACAACTTGATTATAATCTCATTTTCAATTAAGGAATGAATACTGACAGCGGAAGCGAAGTCCTTGACTATATTAATCAATGAATAACATTAAAAATGAATTTGCTGACCAACTATCGATAATTGGAAATGTTCCAAATAAAAATCATACTATGATTTTGTGAAATAGAATAATTTTGCGTTCGATTCTGGTGTTATAGATACAGTAGTAATCTGACGGCTTTAATTTCTATAAAAAGTAGTAAGTTTATACCAACGCGTAGTAACTCAATCAAAATTCAATTTTCACAGACGACAGCCATACCAATTTTTTTCTAGTGGTTACTAAAATCGATATCTCGATTTTTATCTATATTTATTACTGTTATTTTGTTGTGACGGTGTGGAAAATACGATTTGCATCGAACGTTTCAAAAAAAAAAATCTTCCGAGAAATATGTCCAATTGTATTTTATGAAACATCAATAAAATCCACCAGATAAAGCAAAAATTAAAGCCTATTTTTAGTTTCGTATCTTAGTAACGTTAGTTCTGATAATAATACATATTTTTTTTTTAAACTTTTTTGATATTTAAGAAAGTATAAGAGATAAGGAAATTGAACGTACATGCAATTTACGAAGTTACAACTAAATATTACATCATGTATTTTCGATGCATGACATCGAAAGAAAATTTTTTTTTCAGTGCATTGTCATTTTTTCTAATCCACCAATTCCATCCAATGTATAGAACCCGGTCTGTCCTGTTTAAATTAGCTGATCTTGAGAAGAACAGGATTCATACCTTTCATCAATGGTATCAGCACGTAAGGTGGGGAGGCTATACGAAATAAATGGCCATTTAATTCTAGAGCCCAACCACGTGAACTTACGGCTAAGAATAGCCCGGTCCCTGCAACCAACGTTGCATTCGAATCGATATTCCAATGACGTTCCCTATTTGGTGTAACGAGAGAGGTGCTGCTGATTGTGTGGAATCCCCAGCACCAGTCTTCCCTGATTTATTTGCTGTTTTGTTGGAATACGGGCGCAAAATTGAGAGATAACATGTAGTTCATCCGCCACAAAGCAGACACGACGACTTGTATTTACTCTCTACCGGCACAGCGACGGTGTATAGTACAAATCCGGTTTAAAATGAGGGAGAACTGGCGCGTGCACACGGGCTAAGACCAGAATTTACCCAGTCTCTGCAAACAAACGTAGCCACGATATTCCCTATTTGGTGCAATGAGGTAGGTGCTGCCACATGGTTGTAATTCACGGGACCAAATATCCCTCAATAAATTTCTTTTCTGTTCTCTCCGAAGACGGAAAACACAATTGAGAAATAAAATGTAGGTTGTCCGCCCGAAGGCCGATACTAAACTATGTTCCCAGCTCGATGAAAAAAGTGTAACCTGAGTAAAACTTCCTTGACATTATGGATAACAGCCAGTATTATACGTTAACTTTCTTTTAAACTCATTTCACCCTAAGCAAGGTGGGAATGCCACTAGTACGCAGGGGGTTACATGGAGTGAAATTGAGAGAGAAAAAAACTGAGCATAGGGAGGATTTAGAAAAGAACAAAAGATGAACGGGATTCAGAAAAGGGGAAGATAGTGATTGACGTAGCATTTAAATTTTTTAAGGTTATAATTACCAGGGAAGCAAGTAAACGGAAGGGAGTTACACAGATGGGAAGTGCGAAAAAAGAAACTGTTGGAGTAGAAGTGGCAGGTGCATTTAGTGCAAGAGTGGGGCCTAGGTGCCAATCTAGTAGCATGCTTAAATCCATGTCGTCGAGGCACCAAAAGAAAAAAGAACAGTTACCATGAAAATATTTGTAGGAAAGACGGAGAGAAGCCACGCCAAGTCGGTGAGGAAGTGACTGAAGTCGAGATGCCAGGTCAAGATCAATTAGATTGCAGATCCTTCTTTGGATTTTGTCAAGAATCTCGAGATGAATAGAAGGAACACCAGACCAGATATGACAGCAATATTCAATGCACGGACGAATGGTAAATTTCTAAATGTACATGATGGAGTCTGACGAGAAATACCTTCTGGCACGACACAGTTACCCAACATTCCTTGCACTAGATACAGCTATTGATTCCATGTAGTCGTTTCACTTCAAGTCAGTTTATTAACGAAATTTACAGGTATATGTGTCTATATCTCTGAGATACATCATTATGATTACTGGCTAATTACATTATTCGGACTGTTATTAAAAAAATTTCCGTATTTAAACGTTTCGGCATCAATTACGCCCCGGCCTTCCTCAGGAATTGGAATTTTGACTAAACCCTCTTTTTGCTCCGCACCGTGATGGATTTTCTATGGGCGTGGGAAAACTTTCGGATGTGTCAGTTATTTCCTTTATCTCAATATTCAGGTTTTAGTTCTCCACGAAAATGGCCTGGTATTAAACACACAAATACCTCGGTCATAAATAAAGTTATTCAATTCGAAATTCTTCCCATCACCTGAAGAAGACCGGGCGTATAAAGGGAAATGTTGTGAATATGGCAATGAAGATGAAGATAACAGTTTTGTGAATAATAAGTAATCATTATAAAAATGAGATTTATAGACAAATAATTGACCAAAAAATTCCAATCACCTGAAAGAAGGCCGGGCGTAGAAAGGTCGAAAGGTTGTAAATATATCAATGAAAATGAAGATATCTTCCGAATAATGAAAATAATGCAAGTAATTTAAACCTCATCTCAGAGATATAGACAGATATTGAAGAAAAATTCCATTCAGTTTTGCTCCGGTCTAAACGGCCGAAATCAACCCGATCAATATATTTATGAAAGATGAGGAAGTTCAGGTAAGTAAATTGTCATGGGTCCTTACCTATAACTACAGAATGAACTCTTCCTAACACTATGTATACTACGCCTAAAAGAGAGGAACAAATCGAGTCGAACCGATAGTAGTTCACTCCAAACCAGACTGACAGTCATACTGACACCTTCCACATCTTGTATTATTATTTCGTGTTTATATACCTTCGTTATTTCTACTCTTGTGTTCCTGTTGTTCTTCCTTGGTCCTAACCTGAACCATAACATAAATAACGCTAGCAATCATAGTACCTCATCTCAGAGATATAGACAGATATTGAAGAAAAATTCCAATCATTTGAAGAAGGCCGGAGCGTACAACGGCTGAAATGTTGTGAATATGGCAATGAAGATGAGTATAACAATACGATTAATGTACGATCACCTAAGTTAAGCACCGTCAAGCCTAGTCAGTACCTAGATGGGTTACCGCTTGGGAATACCAGGTGCTGTAACGTTGAATGTGCTGTTGGTACGACCAAAGTTAAGGAACGTCGAGAGTGATCAGTATCTAGATGGGTGACCACTTGGGAATACCAGATCCTGTAACCTTGGATGTGCGGGAGGTACGGCTTACGGCTACACCACGTTGAAAAACCGGTTCCCGTACGATTACCAAAGTTAAGCAACGTCGAGCCTGGTCAGTACCTAGATGGGTTACCGATGGTGAACACCAGGTGATGGAAATTTGGATGTGCGGGTGGCGTAATGGATAACGGCGGTATCACGTTGAAATGCCGGTTCCTGTACGATTACAGAAGTTAAGCAACGTCAAGTCTGGTCAGTACCTAGATGGGTGACCGCTTGGGAATACCAAGTACTGGAAGCTTGGATGTGAGGATGGTATAGCTTACGATCATATTACGTTGAAACATCGGTTCCTATACGATCACCAAAGTTAAGCAATGTCGAGCCTGGTTAGTTCCGCTTGGGAATACCAGGGGCAGTAAGTTTGAATTTACGGGTGGTGCAATAGAATTGTTTATCGGTGAGGCGAGTTCCGATCTTAGTTGGGTTCGTTATTATCCGCTTACGCGCAAATAACCTTGGGAAATGTTAAAATATAATGCAATATGGTCATAAGCTATGAATTAATAAGTATGACTTGTATCAATAAACCATTATTAGCTCTAAAATACAGTTGAGTACAAAATATTTAGATTTCGGCATTAAATAACCCATAGAGGTTGATATGCTGCTAAATAAAATCAACCAACCAACAATACATATTTATAGTAAAGTGACCAACAATAGATTTCATCTGTAGTTGAAGGCATACAATTGCATTCAAAATATATTTAGTTGAAGCCATAAAATTGTGTTTAATATATTTACATTTCGTCATTAAATAACCCATATCTGTTGATATGCCGCTAAACAAAATCAGTCAACCAACAATGCATATTCATAGTAAAATTACCATATTATACATTTAAACTAAAATGACCAACAATAATTTTTATTTGTAGTTGAAGGCATACAGCTGCGTGCAAAATATTTAGATTTCGGCATTAAATACCCCATAGAGGTGTTGATATGCCGCTAAACAACCAGCTAATAGATATATGTCGCTCCGGATAACCTACTGGGAATTTTCAACTGAACCATACGGACTTAGGCTGTTCTCGCCCCACCGTACATGTCTAAGGATATCTCGTCTAAGTTTTAATTATTGTGCTGCTCAGTTATTGCTCGCTTATGTTTCCACTGAATCCATGTACACACTGCCCTGTCCAGGGATTGAACTCACGAGCCAATGCCTTAAGTCATTAGGCTATTGTCTCGTGGAACAATTCCCAGTGGAGAACAGAGAAAACATGACCTTGCTGCTGTTGTTTTACTAATGGTAGACAGTAAAGGTTGATAGATAAAAACCATAATAAATACTCATTTATCATGTAACTTTTGAAGACCTAATTTTGAAGCTAATTTTAAGGAGGTAACATCATACACGAGATATAAAATTAGCGTATATACTGTTGACCTTGGCTACACCGTTGACCAAACTATATATCCATTTCAAATTGGCTTCAAAATTAGATCTTCAAAGGTCACATGATATGAGAGTATATATATACGGTTTCTTCTTAATGAAAAAAAGTATTCTCCTATACACACATAGGCGATCATTGCTCTCCACAACTTCCCATCCTTTGCAGTTCTTAAATTTTGTCTATTTGTTATTCCTCCTAGACCCTGTTCCGCCATCCATTCGCTCAAGCTCTCTAGAGAGGTTATGCCTTGTGTTTCTCTGTCGCTCTTGCCTTCAATCTGTTCTGTGAGTATTAATTTTTCCAAGCCTTCTTTCCTCATTATGTGTCCTAGAATATATTCAATGTAAACATTTTCTTTATAAAAATCTATGATGAAAAATAAAAATCTAACTTCATACCGAAAACATTTCGTCTCTGTATACAAATAAACAAACTTACCGTATATACTCCGGTATCATGTGACTTTTGAAGACTTCATTTTGAAGCTAATTTTAAGAGGGTCGTATCATACACGAGATATAACATAGCATATATACTGCTGAACCTGGCTACGCCGTTGACCAAACTATGAATCCATTTACTGTAGTTAAAAAAAGTACAGCTGTGTTTAAAATAAACATGATTTTAATAAAATTGATGTTTTACTTAACTGTATCCAATAACAATGCATGTAATATTCAAATATTAATATCGTATCATAAAATACAAACAGCGAATATATTCTCCATTGTTTACGCTTATAAGATGTTTCTCTGTTTCTGGTTTGGTTGTTTATGGCTGTATGCGTTTACACAACGAGTATAGTGTTACTAACGATACTTTTATCATTATCTTTTACTTTTTTAACTTATTTAACTAGAAGATGGGTTAAAGAGATAGAGGAAAAGAGGTTAGTCTATAGTAATTTACCTAGATGGTAATTTTCCTCAAAAGGAACTCGCATGATACACGAGATGCATGATTGAATCATTTTTTAAAAGTGAAAACGAGTACACGGGTAGATAGATTTATCGTCGGTAATATACTAATGTAATTTTACAGGGGTTTTAAAAAGTGTATGTAATTTTAACCAAAAGGTATGTACCGGTAACCTGACGTAAAAAAAAGACTTCCATCTTACCATTCATACTGAATATATGAAATTACGAACCTGGACATTCGGAATTCAGAAAATGATAACCCTCTCTTAATCTTAAGCCATTTAATCCGATAGAACACTTAAATCGTAGAACAGGACAACAAAGGATCAAATACAACACTGTGATCAAAAGTACGTATTGAACTAACGAAAGAAGAATTCAAAATGTTCAGAAAGTTGCTGATAAATGGCATAAAAAAGTGATAGAAATAAAGAAAAGAGTGTTGGATATCGTCTTATATGGCAGTTGACAATCTCCCCATAGATGACGAGGAAATCAGAGCTAAACGAAATGTGATTCTACAGAAGGATGCTGAGAATTCCATCGTGGAGTGAGTAAGCAATAAAGAAGTCTTGAAGAATGGCAACAGAAAAAAGATATATTTTCAGAATCAGAGAAAGAGAGATGAAATTCCTTGGACATATAGTAAAGATTTGGAAAACTTAATCCTCATTGGGGCATAACAAGACAAGAGAAAAAATACAAATGGTAAAAAAGTTGCCAAAAAGAAGAACCTGTTCTTTTGACATAGGGTTTTTTCGAATAGGATATATTCACGACGCTCGTAAAACTCATCCACCGAAAAATTTACTCGTCTTTCTCTTCTCTTGTTTATCATTAATATTGACACTGCATCCACGATTCTATCTTGGTCCGGTCGCTCGGTCCCGTTTAATTTTAGCACAGATGCCTCTATCTAGCCAGTTTTTAAATTAACTAATTACGCTAAATATTCCTGAAGAAACAGGGTAATGTCAAAAACAGCATCTGTTTTTTTTTTCTTGTGGGGACAAATGGGGGAAAAGAAAATAAACATCTATGAATAATCATATCTTATGCCTTTTAAAAGCGTACATATTCATGTCTGACGGCATCAAGATAAATGGCATTGGGAACTGAGGCTGGATAACCTTAAGGTTATTAAAATAAGTGATGTGTAGTGTAAGATTTAAGAGAGTAAATACTCGACGGTTCAACTGGTTATTTACACGCGGAATATTGTCGTCAGCTTTGTTATTCTCACGACGTTTCGGCTGGTGTGCTCTTCGGCCTTCATCACGCATTTGGGAGAATTAAGAACCGAGCCTTAGTTTAGTTTATGGGGAAGACCTTAACTCGTTCACAGCAATCAATTCAAAGGATAGTTGCAGGAGAGTTTCGTCCCTGGATAATTGCGTACCTTGATAATTTATTGAAGCTTTTAAAAGCAATTATCGTAAAATGATTAAAAAAAATAATACTCCTACAAATTGAAGAGTTTTAGGACAGTTGTATACTGGATATTTGCGTTCCAGACAATTGCATACGAAGATAATTGCTTATACCTACCAAAGTACCAGATAATCGAGGAACCGGATAATTGCATACCACGAGGAACAAAAGGTTGGATTAATTGCATGAGAGCAATGGTTTACCGGACGATTGAAGTCAGACTGCATACCAGACAATTGCATACCGGACAATTGAATGGAAATGCAGACAATTGACCGGACCGGACAACCCAAAACCAGAGAAATCGCATACCGGACAAGAGATAACAGACAATTGCATACCAAACAATGGTCACATGGGACAATTAGATAATGAAGAAATTTATACCAAAATCGCATACCGGAAAATTGCATACCAGACAATTGCATATCAGATTACAACAGCTGAACCGGATAATTGCATATAGATAGATACAATTGTAGAGAGAGAGAATCGCAACCGGACAATTGCATACCAGACAATTGCATACCAGACAATTGCATACCGGACAATTGCATACCAGACAATCTATAAACCTTCAACTGCATATTTTGGACATTTTCATTTTAGAAGTCGTTATTGAATATGCCCATTTACCTCTGATAATTTTTAGAAACTTTTAAAGGCAATTACCATAAAATGAGTAAAAAAAAAATAAACCTACAAATTGAGGATTCTAGAGTAGTTGCGTACTGGACATTTGCGTCTCGGACAATTGCATCCCAGACAATTGCGTCCCTGAACATTTGCATCCCGAGATAAATTATTCCCTGGATAATTGCGTACCTGTGATAAATTACAATTTTTTTTTTTAATTACCATAAAATCATTAAAAAATAATAATCAATAAAAAAATAATAGCTGTCTCTGGATAATCGCGTACCTCTGATATTAGAAAGGTTTTTCTCTTAATATACTAAATGTTTTAAAATAAAATAATTTAAATAATAAAAAATCAAAAATATTGGATATCCAAATACTATTTTCTTTTATTGTCTTTCTATTTTTAAGAATCATTTATATATCTTCAGAATAACAATAGAATAACAAACACACAACCCGTAAGGGTAGTTTGTAGCGTCTAACTCATAGACAAAATAAAGCAGAGACTAACTCATTATGAAACCCTAAAACTGACTGAATCAAGGAATATTAAATTTATAAGAAATTCTGTGTCCACTCATGTACCAGCAGTCAATCACAGTACCCAAGCAATGGACTATCCCATGAGCACAATGAGATACTCCATGGCACCATAAATAGCTCTCTTTCTCATAGGTGGAGGGTATTTTTTCATATTAATTCTACAAATTTGTTTATCTTGACAATGTGATTGTTCTACAATATCCTCAAGACTCGGTAACCACCCCCACTTGGAGTCTTTGTGACTTTATTGCCTTGCTTTGGGTATAATCTTAAAAAAAAAGCAACAAACTATCAAG